AGAATCTATCTCTACTTCAAGGCCATTAACATCTCGTAATACAAGAAGTAGATTTCAAGATTCACAAAGTTCTATTTTGGATACATTTCATCAATTTGGAATTCAAGAAGAAACAGGAGAACCATCAACATTAACTTCCGCTAGGCAGAACATTGAACACGAATCTGATGATGAAATATCAAGAGGATTATGATTTTACTTTCTTACCTCAAAGACATGTAAGAAAGTACACAAATCATTCCAAATCTGGTATAAATCCTTCTGATAATTCTGAAATCAAAGCTAATCAACCTTCAGAATCTTCTGAATTTACTACTGAAGAAGATGAAGTTACAAGTGAATCTGATGATAATGGTGATTTTGAAACATTTGAAAATTATGCACCACTGGATTATGAGCTATTTCGAAATCCACCAAGTACAGAATCAATTAATGATTAATTTGGATCATGTCATTTCGGACAAGATTCAACATTACAGAGTCTGCAACTGAGACTTTGATAAAATTTATGAAATTGATTTTGACAGAAATCAGAGGTGACAATTTCAAAGACTTTCCAAATTTAATGTTCTTAACAAAGAAGACGCTATGAATAAAAGACAGATTTCAAAATTTGTTTCTTACTCTAAATGTCATAAACTGTACCAAAAACAGTAAGTGGTAAATTTTAGACAAGATAATATGTTAACTATAATGAAATGTCGACATGTAGAATTTTCTAATTCGTCAATTCGTAAATCGCGCTTTTGCAATATACCATTATCTCAAAAAATTGCTGTATCAACAAATCGAATAGTAATTCAACCTAATTTAATCTTTCTTTTTTGAGGAATACGACAACAACTCGCTTCCATGTATCGTCAGCCTTATTTTAAAATTAATTTGAGACATTGGGCAAATCGTCAGCATTTTGACAACATTGTAACTGATATATATGATGGTCAAGTATGGCAGACGTTAAAAGAATCTTCTGAAGACGATTCACCAAAATTTTTTCAAAATGAAGTGGCTGATTCTGACCTTGGATTAATGCTGAATCTTGACTGGTTCCAGCCATATGATGGTACTGTTTATAACATTAGAGTAATATATGCTGCTATATGCAATTTGCCATGTGATATATGATTCAAATGTGAAAATTTACTGACTCTTGGTCTTTTACCCAGGCCAAGTGAAGTTAGTTTACATAAAATTAATCACTATCTAGCACCAATCGTTGATGAATTGGAATCTCTTTGGGATGGAATAACAATAAATCAAACAAATAAAAGTAAAATGGTAAAGGATTTGTGTAGCATTAATCCTAGTTTCATGTGATATTCCTGCGGCAAGGAATATTTGTAGTTATGTTTCAGCATTAGTGCTATATCATAGATGTAAAAAGAAGGCGAATTATGAAAATCGGCAGCATAATTTTACCAGAATAGATAATTTCAATGATTGGTTCTTTATGTGAGATCTAATTGAATATCACCAGAATGCTTTAGAATAGAGATATTGCAATTCAGACGCTTCACAAAAGTGATTTGTAGGGCCAGGATGACGTTATCTGTGATTATGAACAATACGAAGCATCTATTGTATCTGAGCAAATAGTTATACCAAGC